CAAACACTGTACGATACAGATCTGATACACGTGTACCTGCAGATTCATTGTAAGCTAATACGGTTAATACTCAGTCCATAAAACTACTTTAGCTTGTAACGGTTTTTTGTGCCATTGAACGTCACGGGTTTTGTATCTTAATTGACTAAAATATGCATCGTGTTTCATGGGGGTCACAAGAATAATTTATAACCCTACCCCCCTTCAGACCTAAAGTACCCCACCCCTTCCCCTTCGACCTTTTTGGACCTCGCGAGACGAAATCCTCAGGAAATCCGATCCTTGCTCTCCTTGTCGCTCGCTCCCCGCTGCTCCTATCATACGCCCCAACCTCCTTCCCGCCCGACCCTCTTCACTCTCACAACCATATCCTCACCTACCCGTCATCCCTCCCCTTTGCTCTTGCACAACCACTGAGTTCTGGCACGTGCCGGTGGCATTGCGGGCTCTACCAACAACCCAGCAAGTCCCAATCCCTTATCACTGCACATATTTATACAAGAACGCTGTTTTGCAACATCCAAGCTCGGATTTTTTGTAAAATGAGCATGGGGTTTCTCAAGAGATATCAATACCGTGATGTTGTTGAGGTAAAAGCTGAGAGGCGCCCAGTCAAGATCATTTACAACGAGGCAAACAAGACGCAGTTTGAATTCACCTTCTCACACGTCATCCAACAGTCCAGGACAGAACTAGAGAAGCAAAGGTTGTACCAGTCAACAAGAACGCAGGTCCAACAGCTAACAGAGCTGATCCAACTGCTGGAGTCGCACAGGGCCTCCCTCCTGAGTGAGTTGGAGCCGAGCAGCTCTACAGTGCGTACTGGGAATTCAGCCACCTGGCAGAGCCATGTATGGGGCCAGCCGGTCTGTTCTTCACTGTGGGATCTCTCGTTGAATCAAGACGCAAATCGAACCTTGAGGACAAGCCCGAGCGAGCATGAGGTATCGGGCCATAGGACTCAAGGACAAGGCGATTGCCCTGTAAGTGACAGCGAGGATCTTGTAAAACAGCAGCCATACACAGAAACGGTGCCTTCACACCAGTCATATCACTGCAATCGCATGATAGTCGGGACGGGTCCAAGGTGAGCAGCTTGTTTTGTTCTCAGCACTTGAATTGACGACTTGATTTACAAGTATTCTGACAAAAAAAGGCTTCGATGTTCTTCCTACGAGCACGATGATAGAGAGAATGGGAGCAGCAAGCGGCACGAGTCCAACCTCCCCGGCAAGATCGTCCTCACCGCTGAGACTGCCTGCGAGATCTACGCCATGAGGCCCTCCCGCTCCGACGACAGCAAGGGGGAGGCGCGTGCCAAGAGCCACAGCGCGGAGATCGCTCGCAAGTATGGAGTGACGGCCAAGACGATAAGAGACATATGGAACCGCAGCACGTGGAGCAAGGCGACGCGGAAGCTCTGGACCGAGGAGGAGACGAGGATCTACCACCACAACAAGCTGACCAGACACCACAAGCTGCTGGTGCAGACTATCAAGGAGCAAGGTGATGTGCAGACGCGGGAGGGAGGAGGGTTGGGATTGCGATGAGGGAGGGGGTAGGAGGGGCTACAAGGGCATGTGGGAGGGGAGGAGGGAGGGGATGAGAGGGCGTGACTGCTTGGGTGTAGGAGGGGGCGACGATTCCAATGAGGCTTCTTCGTTTGTGAGCGATCATGATGATGCTCCTGAGATCTTAGCATGGGAACAAGGAGATTCTTCGTATGGAGGAACCTTGGTCAGCACTACCAGATGATTGTGAATGAATTCAACATCCATCTGTTGTGATATGCTATTTCTGTTTTTTGACTTGAACAAGAAACAGCGAGGTATTCAATATATGTGATGAACGTATTTGAACCCAGAAGCAAAACAATATACTGTCACAAAGAGATCGTCCCTTTGAGGGCGTTCTCGGTTTGTTGGACCGCCGTTTGTCGCGTCTGTACCGTACGGAGTGCTGCCTGTAGATAGAATTCATTGATTACCGTTCACAGCGCCTGATCATCGGAAGTCTACAAGTAGCCGGGAGTACAGCCGCGAGGCTCAGCTTCAAGCGAGGGCCGCATTGCATCCGATCATCGGATGCTTCGTTGAAGTTGGAAGTGACTCCGCCCGGGTCACTCACCGTCAAATAAGCAACACTGACAAGACTGCCCGATCATCGGTGTTGATGCAACTTGAACCGCTTAACCGCTGTAGTCTGATGGAAAGTTCAATCATCACCAGAGTTGCTGTTCTGACTGACAAATCTCTCTTTTATAAATCAGTAAACTGCACATTGCAAAGGCTTCGATAAAGCCCTGCATCGAGGTGAATTGGGGGGTGGGGGTAGGTGGGGTGGGGTGTGCATAGTAAAAGGCAGAAGCCTAAAGGCCCAGGAGAATGAACGAGCCTCAAGAGTCGCCTTGCGGGAAGTATAATGAGTCTGGTAACCTGGTAGGGTGGGGTGGGGCCGATGCGAGTGTCTGAGAAAGGGTGGGGTATAAGGGGTGGGGTAGTTGTCGTGTCACCTTGGGAACATGGGGGTCAGGGCCCCGTGACTGTCTGACCATCGAACTTCTTGCTTGTCTCCCTATAGCTCCTGCACCCCCCGTGCTCCTCCTCCTCCCTCCCCCTCACCCCTACCGAGATCCTTCCCCTCCACCCCTCCACCCGGGTGCAACCTTTATCTTGCAGCGCTTCGGCTTCCTAATCCTTTTAAATGAAACGTTTGAGTTTCACCTCATCAGCATTACATGTAGTAAATATGAATCATTCTGGTTTAGAAGATTAAAAGGGACAAGAAGGGAGCCAAAAACATGACTCATGACCCCACCTCAACATTTCCCTTACCTTACTACTGCATGCACCCCTCCATCCAATACCGCACTGACCACGTGAGCCATGCTATCTCAGAACCCTACCTATATCCTTTAGAAGGATTTTCAGATATTTAGTTGGTGGGTACTGTCAGCAAGGTGTACATGGACTTTTATAAAATGGCATATTTTTAATTAAAAAAACCTTTTAGATCTCGAGAAGTGACTGGAGGTGTTTGGCTGGGTGAGTGGGTGGGGGTGGCTTCAGAGTCGGAGGCGTTGCGTCTAAAAGCCTCTTCCACCTACCCCCAGGACACTGTACCCCTACTTCTAGACAAGAGTCCTCTGAGTACCCCCTTTCTAAACTTCTGTCAGTCATTTTGGGGGTCATCAAGCCTAATTTGTCTGTCTAATGTACCCCTGCTTCATGACCCCACCCCCTCAATCCACATGTACCCTCAAAGAAATATCACAAATCAACCTAGTACCGGTGGTGCTTTACTCCTCATCGTTGCCCTGTGCGGTCTTTGGTTGGTTGCCTGTCCTTGTCTGGCCCCCTCCGCTTCGTTTCTCCAAGACTCTGCTCTCTTCGAAGCAAACGATCCAATGCGTGTATAACAGGTAAGGTGAATACCCTTGGTGCTGTATGGCAACTGTCCCTGAATGCTCTTACTGTGCCCGTGTGATGATAGCCCCTTGTCACGATTCATTTATGTTATATCCTCTGTTCTTCTTGCACATTGTTCTCGCTCAAAACTTTGTTACGATTTCTCGACTTCATGACTGGCATGCTGCTCATCGTAAGAGAGTTGAGAAGTGTTCTGATACCCATCTGCCGGTGCGATTCTTGATCGAATTGCTTGTTCGTTCCCGGTGACTGTCGCCATCTTTGATGATATAATTTCCTTCCAGGGACTTTGCCACATGCAGGACATGAATGCGATTTCTGCCTTCAACTATGTCGGCGGAAGCAACCAACCCCGAGAACTCGAGATGCTGAGGGACTTCAGCAAGTGCCTCCTTCCAACTGTGCGGGTCAACAGCCAGCTGCCAACAACTCAGAGCTCGAATCCTCTGCTGGGTGCCTCAGCAAACGCAAACATGTTCATTCCCAACGCAAAGCCTGGTTACGGCCCTTTTCAGATCAGCCAACTTTCCCCTCCTCAAGACTGTAGTCCTGCTCACGGCACTGGTTTGACCTCTTACGGCGCGTCCGCCAGTGCCGAGGCCTCGTTTCAAGGCTTGCTCAAGGCAAACAATGCCAAGGCGATCCTGACGCAGGTTGAGCAGATCAACGACCTTATCAAGACGTTGGAGCAGAAGCGAAGCTTGCTCTTGCAGTCCCTATCCGAGGCCTCAACCCCGCAACCCGCCATCGCGATGTTCGGTCAGGGGGGCTATCAAAACGCTTTAACGGACATGTTCTCGTCCGGCTTCCTCCACGGCAATCAGATCCATCCGCTAGGCTCGACGTCTCTGCAGACGAACGTCGGACAAGCACGACCTGATTACAACGACTCAAGCTTGATTCAAAACATCCCTCACCTTCAGCCTTCCTGTCATCAGGACCATCCAGCGGTCAAGTCTGAGCCGCCAACGTCAATTGCAAAGAGCGAGGTTTTTGCAACCTTGCTCCTTGCTCGCTGCTAAACCCTGTGCAGGCTCACGTCTCATGTGATCTGCCATCATCTGCAGCCAAACGGAAACATAGCAGCGACTCCGATGAGGAGGGACCTGGGAGCAGCAAGCGGCACGAGTCCAACCTCCCCGGCAAGATCGTCCTCACCGCTGAGACTGCCTGCGAGATCTACGCCATGAGGCCCTCCCGCTCCGACGACAGCAAGGGGGAGGCGCGTGCCAAGAGCCACAGCGCGGAGATCGCTCGCAAGTATGGAGTGACGGCCAAGACGATAAGAGACATATGGAACCGCAGCACGTGGAGCAAGGCGACGCGGAAGCTCTGGACCGAGGAGGAGACGAGGATCTACCACCACAACAAGCTGACCAGACACCACAAGCTGCTGGTGCAGACTATCAAGGAGCAAGGTGATGTGCAGACGCGGGGGGGAGGAGGGTTGGGATTGCGATAAGGGGAGGGGGTATAGGGGCTACAAGGGCATGTGGGAGGGGAGGAGGGAGGGGATGGGAGGGCGTGACTGCTTGGGTGTAGGAGGAGACGGTGAGCAGGTTGAAACGCCGCTGAGCTCGCAAATGAAGGAAATCTCAAGATCGAGGAAGCTCGAAAGCAAGCCAAGTTCGCCAGATGAGTAGTGGAGGTGATGATTGATGAGAAGTTGTATATTAAATAAACAGTGAACTCGCATCAACACTGCTATATGCGATGACATGCGCCTATTGAATATCGCGTGACAATCTGCCTCTCTTCTCACTGTTTCATCCACTCACTTTCAAACAATGAGACTCAGTCTTCTCAAATAACAAAGTACTCCTCTTCTCTGCTCCCCTTCTCTGCTCCCCTTCTCTGCTCCCCTTCCCTCCTCCTCTTCTCTGCTCCTCTTCCCTGCTCCCCTTCTCTGCTCCCCTTCTCTGCTCCTCTTCTCTGCTGCTCCCCTTCTCTGCTCCCTCTTCTCTGCTCCTCTTCTCTGCTCCTCTTCTCTGCTCCTCTTCTCTGCTCCTCTTCTCTGCTCCTCTTCTCTGCTCCTCTTCTCTCCTCCTCTTCTCTGCTCCTCTTCTCTGCTCCCCTTCTCTGCTCCTCTTCTCTGCTCCCCTTCTCTGCTCCTCTTCTCTGCTCCTCTTCTCTGCTCCTCTTCTCTGCTCCCCTTCTCTGCTCCTCTTCGCTGTTCCCCTTCACTGCTCACCTTCTCAGCTCCCCTTCTCCGCTCCTCTTAACGGC